CGCGCACGCCGCCGCGGGCCCGGGACTCTGCCCCGCCCCTGCCGCCTCCGCCGACGCGCGAAGCCTCCGTGGACCCGGGGCCCCGCACACCCCCAGTTCTCCCCCGGGGGCGCGCAGGGGGCAGCCCGCTGCTCAGGGCCCAGGACGAACACAATAGGCACGCCAGAGGGGTTAAGAGGCCGAGGTAGAAGAAATACGGACTTTAATGACGATGATTTCCCTTTGGTATAAGTGAGACCTGTGAAAACGTCCACACAACAAGAAAGGAGGCGGCGGGATTAACAGTCCACTCTCCCTTACCCACGAACCGCCTGCCCTGTCGCCGTGGCCACACCAGCAGCGGCACGTAGACGGTACTCCGTAACTGCAGGTCTGAAGTTTTCCCCTTGGTGAAGCTGTAACAGGCAGTCAGCCAGACTTCTGCCTCCCAGCTTCGCGGCAAGAGGCCCCAATTTTTCAGTCCCAGCTGGGTTCCAATCTGCCTCCTGTGTCTCTTGTATAAAAAAGAAAATAATGCTGCCGCTTCCAGTTACCACCGAGGCCAGGGCCAGGAAAAGGCCGATGTCAAAGGAGGGCTTGGAAAAGTCAAAGAGGTGGTGTATAAATGTAATCGATTATCATCTTGTGCTCAAGAATAAGCCATGGGAAACAAAATTAGGAAAGTAAATCTACAGCCCTAGAATATATGCATATAAAATTTAAAATGAATGCAGTTCCAAATCTACAGATGGTATTTGGGGATTGTCTACTGCTTTAGTCTCATGCCCCTGCTGATCCTGCCTCCACATAATCTATCTGGGAGGTTCAAGAAGCCCCTATTCAGTCATCCCCCCAGGCAGAGACTAAGGAGAAAGGCTACACTTTGGCTGTAGAGTACAGTAACATGCATGCGACAAGAAGGGGTAGGGCTATGAAATGTATATACAGACCCCTTGGGTGAGGGGTCCCGGCCAGGAGGCACTGAGCAAGGGAGGGGTCCATCTCCCCCCTGGCCGGGAGGGGGGCTCTGGGGCAATCTCTAAGGGTTGCATATCCCCAGGGAGAGGGGACAGCTGTCACTCCTGCATCAGTTTTCCCACCCAAAACTGGAGGAGGTGCTGACCGAGAAGAAGATGGGGTCCCAGAAGCCAGGAAGATAGCAGCACCCCTGTCTATCCTTGAGCTCAGGGGCCTGAGAACCCTTTGCATAAAATATCTTCAGACCTACGAGATGGTCAAAGGCACAAAGTTTAAACACTGGGGGGAAGGGTTAAGAGGCCTGGGATACCCTGAAGCTCAGAGGGAGACCAGAGGTGGAACTGGTTTCCCCTTCCCCAGAAGGGTGATTGTTCTCCTGGGCCTGTCACCACAGGGCACTGTCCATTCCAAGCACCCACCTTCTTAGGGAAGGGGGCATCAGGTTGGCACAGGAACGGTCCGAGGGGGCCACTCTGCACATTAATACTTTGGTGAGGTTTGGGGAGAAACAGGATTCTACCCCAGGCTCCTGACTCAAACCCAGCCAATAAACCCAGTCCACATGACTCCAGCTCCCACAAAGGCCAGGCCCACAGAACGCTGCCACATGAGGTCCTGAGAGTTAGGGATAAGGTGGAAGGGGCTGGAGGACATCTTCTGGGAGAGTGCTAGGTCGGACTACAGTTTCCGCTCCACAGGCTGCTGTAGACACAGTTCGCTGCCCGCAGAGATGATGGGCAAGTGATTGTCCATGTGGTAGCTGATGAGGTGACTGACGCTCTCAAAGCGGTGATCCTTTGTCCGAACCTGGGATGGTGGGAAGAAGAGGGCTGATTTTGGTGAAGAGTTGAGTAAGGTCTCAGTCCCCAAGATAGAGGAAGATGGAATGGTCAAGAGGGTTGATAAGAAAAACAAGAAAAAAATGTAAAGAGGGGCATAGGGGGCTGTCAATCCTGATCACTGAAGCCTCAACAACCTAGAAAGAACAGCTAGAGGCAGTTGTAGGGTTGGGCAGGTCAGTGAACTGGGAAAGGAGAGAGACATCAGTCCAGAAATAGCAAAACAGGAATATCTACACCTCTCCTGACCTGGAGGAAGTCGGCAGGTTTCAAGGAAGATACATGGTGCAAAATGAGGGCCAGCAGGTGATACAAAGGTTAAGTTGTGCCAACTGAGTGGTTCAAGTCCCAGACCCAGCGGCTTCATAATCATGTCGGATGTATGTACCCAAAATCTAGAGAATGGAGCTTGCCCATCCCTCACGGGGAGTGATTCCTCTTT